TATATATGTATATATATACATATATACATATATCTGTAAACCAGTCTCAGTTTTTTTTTTCTAGTGTCTTCCTACGATGTCTCAGTTTCATTCAAGTCTTTTTCCTCCCACAGTTTGTGGTACTTGAACGGGAACTACCTGGTCATCATGGTCTCTGCCAGTATCATCCTGCCCCTGGCTCTGATGAAGCAACTGGGTAAGAAGCTCCGCAGGTTCACCTGGTGTCTGTCTGTCTGACCGACCGCTACATGGTACATGGACCAGTGTACATGGTACATGGACCAGTTGTCATGTTGGGTCAGAAATGTCACGTTGATTTCTAACGTTGATCTTGTGTCTTTAAAGTACAAGGTTTATGATGAGATGAAGTTTTCATTTTGACAATATTCAGACTCCATGTGTTCAGACGAGTCACTGATGATGTCACGGTTTGATTGACAACTGTGTCACCTCCACAGGTTACCTGGGCTACACCAGTGGGTTCTCTCTCAGCTGCATGGTGTTCTTTCTCACCGCCGTAAGTTTCGTCCACTTCACACCCGCGGTCGGCGCCATGACTTTTTGGCGCGTCCCTTCACTTTCCCACCCTCACCTCTGTCTCACACGCTGCAGTGGTATGTTGTGATGTTTGGTGGACGCTCCTTTTAAACATCAAAGGCTGGGACTGAATGTTTCTCCTCGGTGCTAAAAATCAGAAACAAAAACCGAACCGGATCGGATCGGATCGCTGATTTATTTATTTTCAACTTTTTACAGGTGATCTACAAGAAGTTCCAGATTCCCTGTCCGTTTGAAGAGTACTCCTCCAACAGTACCGCCGCCCACCACACCGTGAATGTGTCAAACCACGTCGTCCACGCGGACCAGGAGGTGGACTGTTCCCCACGCATGTTCACCATGAACTCACAGGTGAGTCGGAGTCGGAAAACTTCACTCCAACTTCCACTTCTACAGAAATGGAAAAAAAAAAAAGTCTGTGGTTTGGTGGTCGCCCCCCTGAGGTCATGTGTGTCCCTACAGACGGCGTACACCATACCCATCTTGGCGTTTGCCTTCGTTTGTCACCCCGAGGTGTTGCCCATTTACACCGAGCTCCGCAAGTGAGTCATGGTCTCGGAAACCTGCGATATTTGATGTCGCGTCGGTGTAGAATGTGTCGGTGTAGAATGTGTCGGTGTTTGACGTTGACTCTGATTCCAGTGCAACGAAGAAGAAGATGCAGAAGGTGGCCAACATATCCATCTTCGTCATGTACTCCATGTACTTCCTGGCCGCGCTCTTCGGGTACCTGACCTTCTACGGTGAGAACGGTCTGCAGTTGTTGGCGTTGGTGTTTACTGCACACACACACACACACACGATATAACACCTCAACTCTACCAGTTGTTGTTTAATGTTGTCAGATGGATTCACACGTCAGTCTCTTCTTCTTCCTCGTCTTCTTCTTCTTCTTCCTCTTCTTCTTCTTCTCCTCCTCCTTCTTCTTTTTTTTTTTTTTTTCTTTTTCTTCTTCTTCTTTTTCTTCTTCTTCTTCCTCTTCTTCTTCTTCTTATTCTTCTTCTTCTTCCTCTTCTTCTTCTTCTCCTCCTCCTCCTTCTTCTTTTTTTTTTTTTTTCTTTTTCTTCTTCTTATTCTTCTTCTTCTTCCTCTTCTTCTTCTTCTGACCTGCAGGGAAGGTGGAGGCTGAACTGCTGCACACCTACAGCCGGATCGATCCGTTTGACACTCTGATTCTGTGTGTGCGTGTGGCTGTGCTGACTGCTGTCACTCTGACTGTTCCCATCGTCCTGTTCCCTGTGAGTTTTCCAGCTCATAATTCTCCTAGTGGTCAGTCAGCTCCGAAAAGTCCTTTTTTCTAAATACAAACTTCTTCAAACATCTTCTAATTAGTGTGAAAACTGACTCCAAGTCTGTTGTGAAACAGGCAGAGATATTTAAAAATGAACTTTTCCTACCGTAAATATTCTTGGACGGATCAGGTTTTTAACTCTGGAACAGAAGGATCTACGTTTGTTGGACGGATCAGGTTTTTAACTCTGGACCAGAAGGATCTACGTTTGGAAAGAAAAGAAAAAAGAAAATGAACCAACCACTCGGAATTCCGTTAATTTAAATTTTGTTAATATAAAAAAAAATAACGATACAGTTCTGTAGAATATCAGTACAGTATCGTGAAACAAAATCCTGATACCTCATATATGTATATATATATATATGTGTGTATATATTTATTTGTGCGTCCACAGGTTCGTCGGGCCATCCAGCAGATGGTTTTTCCCACCAAGTCCTTCAACTGGCTGCGTCACATCGCCATCGCCGCCATCCTGCTCTCCATCATCAACTTGCTGGTCATATTCGCTCCAAACATCCTGGGCATCTTCGGCATCATCGGTGAGTGCGACCCACAGTTTGAACCACGGCCTCAGTACAGAAACGTGTGACCCGCTTCTGACGTCAGGCACCGGTGTCGCAACCAGAGCTGGAACAACAACGAGAGAAGTGTCGGACGTTTACGATGACGGGTTTTAATGTCATCGGAAAAATGTCGTAGAAGTTATTTTTGCACATTTCAGTTACATGCTAACGTACGTAATTATTAGTAATTATTAGTCACCTATTCAGTCTGTGTTTACTGACTGAAGTCTGCACCGATTCTCCTGGTTCAGAATATGAACATGTGACCAAAGCCTGTTTACAGAGAGAGAGAGAGAAAGAGAGAGAGAGAGAGAGAGAGAGAGAGAGTCAGACCTGAGTCAATATTGTTTTCATGCCTTTATCTCCAGATCGGCGCAGTGTTTCGTGGGTTAGAGGTGAAAGTTGAAGCCTCTTCAAAGAATACTTCAAAGCTTCGTTTTTTTTCCCCTCTGACAAACATTGACGAGTGTTTAGGAAAAACACATGAAGGTTTTCGGAGCGTCGTACCAAGACGAACACCGACGTACACAGACCGTCACGACCTGTGTGCAGGGGTCACGTCAGTCAAGTTAAAACCAGATAAAAAACAAAAGTAAAGAAAGAAAGAAATTCTTTGTACTTTGTTTGGTTTTAAAAAAATATATATTTTTACAGAAACTTTGGGAAATAATCACTGAAAGACAAAAGAAAAAAAGTCAAAGTTGAATTAGACGTTTGACTGGTTACCAGTTAACCAGCTAATAACTAGACTGGTGGTTGAATCTGTGACTCATGGTCGTGTCCTTCCTGCAGGCGCTACGTCGGCCCCCTGCCTCATCTTCATCTTTCCTGCGATCTTTTACATCCGTATCGTCCCCGTGGAGGATGAACCCATGAACTCCCGTCCAAAGATCCTGGTGAGGCTAACGCTCGCTGAACCGACCAATCATTTCAACTGTTGACTAATCTGAAGATCTAAGGACAACATGTCTGAAACGTTTTGTTCTGATTACCGTCATTTCCAGACTATAAGTCTGGTTTTGTTTTTTTTTTGACGCTGTTCCTCTTTTCTCCACCAGGCGGCCTGTTTTGCTGCTCTGGGCTTTTCCTTCATGGTAATGAGTCTCAGCTTCATAATAATCGACTGGACAACAGGGGGCGGTCAATCTGCAGGAGGCCACTAGATGCTGCCTGGGTGTGTGGTCAATGTTGAAGGAAGCACTATAACCTGGGTGGGGTCACAGTGCAGTGCTGCCCCCCCAACCCCCCCCCCCTACTCTTCCTGGTGTTAACATCTACAGTTAGAAGCGTGAGCTGAAATGACCAGGGCTTAAATACTTTTTAACTTTTTTTTTAAAAAAAAAAAATAATTTTATTCAAATTTTTCAATAATTCAGTGTAACATAGTGCAATGATAATGCAATTTAAATAGAAATGATCATAAATGAACAGGGTCTTAAAAAAAAAAGAAAAACAGACGCCTTTTTATTCACACACAAACAGCTGCAGCTGGTACTGTATACACACACACATACTGTATGTGTGTATATATAAATATATTTACATATACACACATACAGTATGTGTGTGTGTATACAGTACCAGCTGCAGCTGTTTGTGTGTGAATAAAAAGGCGTCTGTTTTTTTTTTTTTTTTAAAAAAAAAAAAAAACAGACGCCTTTTTATTCACACACAAACAGCTGCAGCTGGTACTGTATACACACACACATACTGTATGTGTGTATATATAAATATATTTATATACACATATATGTAAATATATATGTATATAAATATATTTATATATATACATATATTTTTATACATGTATATATAACCATATATATATGTGTATATATATATAAATATATGTACATATATGTATGTATATATATATATATGTATTTATATATTTATATGTATATATAATCTTTTAGACTGGATACACGCAGATATTTAACTAAAATACTTCAGAAACTATTTTTACACAAATATGATGTAGTTTTTTACGTGACGCACCAACCAGGCGTCGCCATGACAACAGTTGTCAACTGTTCACCCTCAGGTTCCGCGGGGACGTGTGTGGTGAGTGAAGTGTTAAAACTCGAATCTTTTCATTTTCATCAATCGAAACAGAAACAGAATAAAAACAGGAATGTATATTTATTTAGCAGCGCTTTTAATTTTTGAAGAGATATATTTAACAACTGTGTATGACGTGAACAGCAACACGAAACTTAATTAGCTTAATTTAATGCTCTTATTGTTACCTCAATGCCAAACAGCCAACTTGAACAATAACTTTACTTCAAGTTGTGGATGTTTCATGAATTATAAATATTTTTTTCCCTCAGATTAATTTAAGTGTAAGAATAAAAAATAGATTTTATTTAGTTGATATCTTACTAACCTAAACCAGCGACCAACAACCAGTGATAATTACACTGATACTTTTTTAACCAGCGAACTCAGTGGTTCCCAACCTTTTTTGTACCAAGGACCGGTCGATCGGTACCAGCCGTTACTGTGGACCAGTAATATCGCGCCATCATTGAAGGATTTTCAAAATAAAAATGTCTTTTAGACTTTCTTCTGTTAGAGCCTGAATGACCTTTGACCTGTAGTTCTGAAACATTGACAGATTATCTTTGAATCAAAACAATAAAGGGACATGACTGGATTATTTTAGAATGAAGTACATTAGTAAAACTGAAGTACATTTTTTTCACTGCGAAAATGACCTACGGACCGGCACCGGCCCCTGGACCGGGGGTTGGGAACCCCTTCACTAAACTTTAAGAACTTTCTTAAATTGTCAATTCTCATTCGTACATTTTTTTTTTAGTTCTTTTGAATAAGTCCGTCCAGATAGTGCCACCTGGTGGCAGCGGTTTAGCGACACTACACCAAGATTAATCAAATATATTTTGATGAAAACCTCATGATTATCAGGATAAAAAACTGTTGCCTTCTTCAGTATGTGGGATAATTATCATTTTTAAAATGTTTCCTACTCGGTCGTCGTTCTGTTCATTGATTTAACCCAACAGTAAACGAGGCTTTCGGTTGAACTGCACCCCCTGGTGGTCTGGTCCAGTGTGTGAGTTTCATTTTATTCATTTGAAGATGTACTGATGTATTTGTCACTCTGCTGTAATGTCTTTTCTGCTCTGGATTTTGTAGCGTGTCGCTCTGCTCTTACTCTGATGTTGTGATTATTATTTAGACTCGATGATTCAGATGTTTTTTTTTCTCGTTAGCGTAGCGTTGGTTCTGTCGCCGTTGCAGTCGAAGCTAAACATATTTGAGATATTTATATCAACAACAAGAATTGGTTCAAATCATTTTCAAATCATCTTGTTTTTTTTAACAATGCAAAATCTTCAACTTTCTTGTTACCAAAGATGGTTTTATTTTGAAGGTCTGTAATTCTTCACTTCCTCCAGATTATTTATCACGTCTGTGTTTTCTGTTTGTCACTGAGCTTTAACCCAGACAAAGTCAGTGTGAGGTCCATGTCGTAGGTTGAATAGTGGGACCCATGTTGGTTTGTCCACCGGTTCACCGTAGACCGACTAGTAACATATGTCACCGGACGCTAGCAGCGGACGCTAGCAGAGTAATTCCTTCGATAAGGAATGAACTTTAGCAGGAGGAATATTCACTGCTCCTTCCGACTTTTGTGATTTGTCATTTTCCATGTGTTTTGGCTGTGAGTTAAATGAAATATTAGTTTTGTCGTACGACATTCATTTTAGGAGATTACGCCAAAAAACAAACAAAAACCAACTGTCTACCTGCTGCTTGTCGATGCTCCTCGCTGTGAAACAGAGGCCAGACTCATCACTTATGCATTTTCCTAAGAATTAAAATGTGTTTGATATTTTATTACGGGCTAAATGTGGGAATTAAAACTAAGGTTTGAGGAAAATTTGATGAACAAAATGTGGCTTAAATATATGTACATATAAACATTTTATATTTGTGATGCATAATAGTGTGTACAGTGTAAAGAGCAGTGGCAGTTTTAGTTTTTGGCAATAAAGTAATTATAGATGTTTCTAAATTGTCCGGATGTTTCCTTTGTTGACGAGAGTAAAGTTCTCCTCGTGACTGAACCCTGACCTGCCTCCTCACCTGTAGGTGGTGATGATGGGTTGTGTTGTGACCTTCTGTGTCATGTCCAAACAACATGTGGTTTTTTTTATCGTAATTTAAAGAACGGTCATTTGAGTTTGTTTGATGTCAAAACCACTGGAAAAACACGACGTGGAAAATGTCCCCACTTTTCACGTGGACGGACGTTGGTCCTCACAGGAGCATAAATACAAGAACACACACACACACACAGAAAATAAAAATATACTGTATATAAATGTGTTTTAGAATAATAATTATTTTTTCACGTTTCTAACAATTAACAAAGCCATGTTCAGTTTTTTTAGTACTGATAAAACGATTTTTTTTTGTTTTAAATAAAAAGCATTTAATAAAGAAATCTTTGTCTTTTTAACTGTAAACACGGTTCTTCACCGTTGTGCTTCACCAGGCGGCGCTGTCTACCAACTTTCCAATCGGTGTGATCGTGTGCCAGGACGGTTTCATAAATATTTAACCGAACCTTTTAAATCTGTTCAGCCTCAGTCCCACTGGTCACTGCGGTCCACGCTGGCACCTTTGTTTGTTTGTTTGTTTGTTTGTTTGTTCCATATGCAGAGGAATGAGATTGACGCTGGCACAGCGCCCTCTGCAGTTTGCACAGCGTACTTCGTCTCGGTGCCTTCCTCTCTAATTGGTGCCACAGAGAGAGGGCGAGGGACGCGTCCGCGGGAGCTCACCTGCTGTAACCCGACCGTCGTGACAGGTTGACGTCGATGCGGCGGCGGCGACAGATTCTCAGTGAACCGTCAGACCAGAGGTAGAGACCGAGGACAGACGTTCAACCGAGGACGCGCTGCCCACCAGGCCGAGACGGGGCTGCGTGGATTGACGGACGGACTGATGGATGGACGGACGGATGAAGGACCGGGTTTTAAGCCTCCTCCACATGGACCGTGACCAACTACGAGCCTGGCGCCGCGTGGATGAATTCGCTGCACCTGTGAGGCGGGAACGTTGACTTTTGACTCGTTCGGAAAAACTCCGCTGCTGGACGTTCGAAGTTCCGTCCAAACCGTCGGTAATAGTTGAAGAATTTGAGGCCGGGGTGGTCGGTGAGCCCCTCCGTGTGGAGCCATGGGTTGTACGGTGAGCGCCGAGGACAAGGCTGCAGCCGAGCGGTCGAAGATGATCGACAAGAACCTCCGGGAGGACGGAGAGAAGGCGGCCAGAGAAGTCAAGCTGCTGCTGCTAGGTGGGTGACCCGCCGCACCACGGCCACCACTAACGACCACAACAGTAAATATATAAATACATTCAGTCTAAATTTACACAACAGTAAATATATAAATACATTCAATCTAAATATAAAATATATAACAGTAAATTTGGAGTCACAGACGATCTTTGATTGTTTTATTTAATTCCTTGTAAAAAAAAAGAAATAGTTTTCACACAGAAATGTCAATTTCAAATAAAAGTTAAAATTTGATTCTTAGTTATTGTAGATTTTAATTTTATTCTTATTTTTCCCCCATTTTTAATGTCCTTGAATTTGATCATTTTCATTAGGTGAGAATTTATTTTTTGAAGTTTGTGGATCTAAATGATCCCAGTCATGTTTTGACATGAAGTTGTTGTTGTTGTTGTTGTTGGAGGTGTACAGTCACACAGACGACCGGGTGTTGAACTGTGTTGTACCCTGTCCAGTTTTTTTCAGATTCATAGAATAAGTCAAAAAAATCACTAAAAAAAATTCAGTTCCTCTAAAAAAACATCTTTCAGTTTTGGGTCTAATTCAAAAACAATGGAGAAAAGAAAATTCTAGGGCGTCGGAAAATCTGATGAAATAAACCGTAATAAACCGTAACCACAGCTGAAGGTTTGACAAAGATGTTGGAGAAACCTGGAAAAGCCTGGAGAGGCCTGGAAAAACCTGGAGAAACCTGGAGAGGCCTGGAGAAACATGTCCCAACTGGTACTACATGTATTGTAGTTTGATCAACTGAAGTTAAATATTCTCCCTCCCACAAAAAAATATCTTTCCCCGCTCCCCCGGGGGGGGGGGGGGGGGTCGGGGGCTCTGTGATTGGTCAGCCAACACTAACGTCCAGAGTCAAACTTGTGGACAGGAAGTAAACATCAGAAAAAACCTCAAAAACTGATGTGGTTCCCAACCCCTGGTCCAGGGACCAGTGCCGGTCCGTAGGTCATTTGATACCAGGACACGTTTTCATTATCATCAAAGAAAATCTGTCAATGTTTCAGAACCACAGGTCAAAGGTCAATCAGACTCTGATACTAACAGATAAAAGACTAAAAGATGTTTTATTTTGAAAATCTCATCATCCTTCAACAATGTTCCAGTATCACTGTCTGCAGTAACAGCTGACACCGACCGACCGGTCCTGGTACTGACTGTAGTCCCAGCAGAACTGTTGGTACCGATTAGAAGTACCGATGCCAGGGTTGGTTATAGCTAGATAAAAAATGTAGTTTATATAAATATGTTCACAAAAAATTAATATCAGTTCCTTCAACGTCCTCTGTTTGTTATGCTAGCATTGCTAACATGCTACATTATTATTATTATTATTTCTCCTTCTGCTGTTTCGTAAATCAAATTTCGCAAATTTTCGATCGTAGACGTTGTCACCTGACTGTAGTCCCAGCAGAACTGTTGGTACCGATTAGAAGTACCGATGCCAGGGTTGGTTATAGCTAGATAAAAAATGTAGTTTATATAAATATGTTCACAAAAAAATTAATATCAGTTCCTTCAACGTCCTCTGTTTGTTATGCTAGCATTGCTAACATGCTACATTATTATTATTATTATTTCTCCTTCTGCTGTTTCGTAAATCAAATTTCGCAAATTTTAGATCGTAGATGTTGTCACCTTGTCTCTGAGTGTGTGCGTGTGTGTGCGTGCAGACGGCGTGTGTGTGTGTGTTGAGGTGGAGTTGGGTGGGGCTGGATCTGTGTCATCCTGGTGTGACAAGCTGCTAACGGAGGCTGAATGTTGGGAAATGTTCAGAGAGTGAAGTGGACGGAAAATAATGTTGTTGTTTTGACTGTCGCTCCTCCAGGATGACTGTAAGACACGTAGTACTCTGTGAGTACTGAGTACACAGCAGTACTCAGTGATGCTGTGGTACAGTGACTAATGAAAATGTAGAAAAGATCAAATCATCAAATGAACAGTTTATGGAATCGTGTCAGTTTCTCGGCCAAGTAGTACTGCAGTATCTCAGGTACAGAACTGTACCAAATATATAGTACTCTCTATGCTAAATATAATGTAACGTAATGTGTAGTATAGTACTGTTACTGGTGCAGTACTATGTGATACATATATACAGTATATGTGATGTCTGCCTCTCTTGGTTAAAGCGTGTGTTTGACGTCAGTTGTTGATGTTTGACTCCAGTTCAACGACATGACGGTTGTTGTTGTTGTTGTTTTTCTGTTGAAGATATTTACGTGTTCTGGTGGTGGGG